ACCGGTCTTGTGTCATGTCATGGCCAGATTTAGGGCGCGTGGTCCTCAGCCCGGCACACCGCATGTAACAAGGGGACTTGGTGCATCTTGTTTTTCCACCGGCTTCCCCTCCTTCCCCCTCCCCCCCCCCCAGCTGGGGAACGGCAGGGGGCAGGGTCTGGGTAATGGGAAGGAGAGGTGGGGGCAGGGAGACGGGTACCTGACCGCTGCTCTAGTCAGCTGGCTTCACCCTCCCTGACACCGATTCTCTGCAGAGGGGTCTTATGGGATCTATGGAGACACCCCCGTCTCCTGGGAACCCCCCCCCCAGCTCCTCCCTCCGGTCCAAATTGCAAGGGATGCCTATCAGTTTCTCCAAGCCTCCCTAAAGCCAGCAGTCATTCTTGTCTCCAGGTGAACACACAGTGCCCGGATCACTCTAAATGTTCCCTCCCAAATCCTCTCTCAGTCTCCACTCCCCACCTTGCAGATGCAGGTATGACATCATCTAGCAGGTCCTCAGCCCCCTGCTTTTCAAGTCCCCCACCCCGGGGCCATCCGTGGCATAGCTCACCCCTAGCATGGTCTCAGCGGAAACCTCTGTTTTAACGTCTCTGACAAATATGCCCAAGGGCGTGGTCCACAGCCTGTCCCTCTCGACCACACCGCTATTTCTGACCCTCCGTGTACCGGTCTGCAAAATGGACTAACACCTACCTCGCAGGGCTGTTGTAAAGGTCCATGGCTCCCGTACAGATGACAGTTCTTTACAAACTGTAAAGGGCAGTGCCTACGAGGGGCCAGCACTACCCCTGCTCATTCAGCCACTCGTAACTTGCCTATTGGTGATGTCTAGGTGTCTTCTGCATCTGTCACAGGCAGTCATGTCCCCTGGTGGGCACCCTGTAAACTCCTGGAGGCAGGGGACCATGACTCTCCCTCTTTTCCACCTGCCTGACCTTGGCACACACGTACAGTGTTTAGGCGAGCTGGCTGATTGGTTGGCAAAGAAAGAAGAATTCTCTTTCTGGGTGTCACAGAGCTGGCAGCACGGCCCAGGTGCAGCAGAGGGGTGGCCCCCAGCCTGAGGGTGCCGAGGTGCTGGTCGAGGCTGCAGGGGTGGGTAGAGAGGAGAGATTGCGAGTCTCAGGAGCTATGTGACACATCCCGAGGGTGCCGAGGTGCTGGCCGAGGCTGCAGGGGTGGGTAGAGAGGGGAGATTGCAAGTCTCGGGAGCTATGTGATGCGTCCGTGCTCGGGCAGCCCCACCCCGCCCGCCTTAGCACCCGAGACCCTATTTCTGTAGGTGTTTTCTCTTCTCCGGAGGAGGGCGAGGTCTCACCTCCCGCCCCGGAGACGTGTAGTTAATTCCGACTCGCTCCCTTCCGGGGGCTGTTCAGCGCCCAGGAGGAGCCCCAGGGAAGGCTCCTACACGAGCCACAACCTGCCCTGGGTGTCCGGGCAGTGTTCACTGTCCCCGTCCCCAGTGAAGCCACAGTTCCACAGACAAAGCGGTGAGGTTTGTTCCATTGAAACCTTGTGTCCTTCTACCCTAAAATCCTGTCCTTCTCTGCTCTCGGGTGTTCCTGATCCTTTCTAGATGCTGGCGAGAACCCGGGTGGTTTCCAGTGAACTGCCTTGGGGAGGCAGAAGGTTGGAGGCTCGCTCGGTCGGTTGTTTTGAACGTGCTTGCTGCTCTGCAGACTCTAAGCATTTTAGAAGCATCACTCCAGCGCTGGCCCCCTCCCTCTGACAAAGGCAGGGGCCAAACCCAGGAGTGAGCCAGTTCCTCAAAGTCGGAGGTCCTCCTCCAGGGAGGCAAGAGTCCAGGGCCCAGACCAGTTCTTCCACTGAGGTGCTGTGTGACTTTGGGAGACACCCTCACCCTCTCTGAACCTCCGTTTCCTCATCTCTAAAACAGCTAATAGCCCAGGACTATCTCTCCCTTAGAGGAAGAAGAGGGTTCACTGTTCCATGTTCACACACCACATAGCAAGGACCTGTGGGGCCGGCGGTCCCCCTCGCCCCAGACTCCTATCCTTCCGGGGTCAGATCCCTTCAACCTCCCTCCACCAACCTCTCCCGGCACTGGCCCTGCTCCCCACTGCGAGGTGCTGTGAGGGCAGGACGTCAGTCTTGACTCACCTCTGTATTCTCAGCCCCTATATTTGGTGCCCATGATAAATAAATGCTCATTAACCATCTGTAGGACTGAATGGCAAACTTCTCTTGCTTCTCCTCTTAGACGCTAGGCTCCTTGGAGGACGTGGGCTCTGCGTCTGACCCGCAGTTACATTTATTTCTCGAGAGTGTAACAGTCAGGAGAAGCTAGGGGATGCTGCTGTAACAAACAGCTCCATAAAGGTTTATCTCTGCCTCGTGTTCCTGTCCCCTGGGAGCTCTTTTCTCCATCATCCTCACTCAGGGACCCAGGCAGACAGAGCAGCCTCTGTCTGGGATATTGTTAGTCACTGTGACAAAGAGAAAAGGAGCCCTGTGGTGTCTTTCTCTGATACCTAAATGCCTCCACCCAGAAGCTGTATGTGTGTGTATGTCCTTCCAACCACATTTATTTAACAAAAACAAGTCATGTGGCCACACCAAATATATGGTGCCCAGATTGGAAAAGCTAGAACAACGAGCAAACGGTAACCATGGCTGCCACTGGGGCAGCAACGGGGGGACACGGGCAGGCTTTGGAGATGGGCTAACTTGGACTTGAACGCTGGCTTTGCCATTTAGCAACCTTGTCACCTGGGGCAATCCCTCTACTGCTCAGAGCCCCTGTTGTCTCGTCTGTAGAATAAGCCTCCAACAATTATCAAAGCATCCTTCTGAGGATAAGAAATACCACTTATGAAGTGCCTAGAAAAGAGTAAGCCCTCAAAAAAAAAATATATATCTGAGGGCACCTGAGTGGTTCAGTTGCTTAAGCATCCGACTTGTGATTTCTGCTCAGATTATGATCTCACAGTTCGTGAGATCGAGTCCCACACTGGGCTCTGTGCTGACAGCATGGAGTCTGCTTGGGATTCTCTCTCTCCCTCTCTCTCTCTGCCCCTCCCTGCTCATGCTCTCTCTCTCTCTCTCAAATAAACATAAAAAAAACTTTATTAAAAAATCTATCTATTATAAGCTCTTGTTAACCTTGTAGCCAGCAGCGTGAAGCAGGATAGAGCTCCATCACTGTGAATTGGTTTAGAAAGTTCCAGAGACATTCACGATGAGATGGGATCGTACCAACATTGCTTTGAAACGGGAAGCCGGAAGGGGCGCCTGACACCCCCACAGCACTTTGCCAATTTCCAAGACTCTCTTATCCATCCATGAAACTCTGAGGCAGGTGCACACCCATCATTATGCCTGTTTCATAGGCTCGTAGACTGGCTGGGAGCAGTTCAACATCCTGCCCCAACACACAGCAAATAATCAATATCAACAATAGTTGAAGCAGTAGCCAAAATTTACTGAGCATTTCTTATGCCCGGCACCATGCCAGGCACTGTTCTGAGAAAGGGTTGGCAACCTGCAGCCCACAGATGAGATCCAGCCCCGTTTGTCTTGGTAAATGCAGTCCGGGCATGTGTGGCCTGTGTCCTCTTGGAGCTACTGTGGAACCTTCGAGATTGCAACAGAGCCCCTGGGGCCCCACGGAGCCCAAAATGTTTATGGTCTGACTCCTTACAGACATTTGCCAGCCCCGTTCTAAGCAGTTTTCGTATCTAGTAATGATCATTTCAGTGTGAGTTTCTAGGAACGAGAGCCCCAGGAGAGTGGGCGCTTTATGGGGAAGTCACAGCATAACCGGTGTGCAGCTCGGTGCTTGCCACCGCACATTGTCACTCCTCCCAGGGTGCGGGGAGCCATGTTCGGAAGCCCTTTCGAAATGACAGATGACTTCTGTCACCCCCTAGACACCGGCAGACGTTTGCCCTGTGTTTCCGCATCTGAGTCCTTGGCGGGGTGCCTCCAGCCGTGGAAAACTTTGCGTAACAGCCTGTGGGTGCTCGTCACTCTGTTTTCTGTGCAGCAGGCCCTACACCGTCCACCGATGTAGGTTGGATGCATTGCAAATAAGTGGCTCAGAGGCTCCCCAGGAGACACACACGTGTTTTGAGCACGGTCACCCCAGGACAGGGAGGCTTGAGCCCTCGTCAGCTGAGCCTTTGCAGAACCACAGAGAATTTGCTGCTTGGTCTGTGTGCTGGCTCTCCCCCAGAGAAACGGGTGTGATAGCACTCAGAGCACAGGAAAATAAGGCACTAAAAGTAACTTTTCAGGGCGTCTGGGTGGCTCAGTCAATTAAGCATCCAACTCTTGATATCGGCTCAGGTCATGATCTCACAGTTCGAGGGATCGAGCCCTGCATCGGGCTCTGTGCTGACAGCATGCATCCTGCTTGGGATTCTCTCTCTCTCCCTCTCTCTCTGCCCCTCCCCTGCTCTCTCTCTCTTTCTCTCTCAAAAATAAATGAATAAACATTTTTAAAACATTTTTTAAGAGGTAAAAAAAGGGGCGCCTGGGTGGCGCAGTCGGTTAAGCGTCCAACTTCAGCCAGGTCACGATCTCGCGGTCCGTGAGTTCGAGCCCCGCGTCGGGCTCTGGGCTGATGACTCAGAGCCTGGAGCCTGTTTCCGATTCTGTGTCTCTCTCTCTGCCCCTCGCCCGTTCATGCTCTGTCTCTCTCTGTCCCAAAAATAAATAAACGTTGAAAAAAAATTTTTTTTAAAGAGGTAAAAAAATAAACTGTTCATTGTGACCTGTTTACATCTATTTTTTTAATGTTTTTTTTTTTTTGAGGGGTTGGAGGGGCAAGAAACAGAGAGAGAGGGAGACAGAGGATCCCAAGCAGGCTCTGAGCTGTCAACACAGAGCCTGACATGGGGCTCGAACCCCTGGACAGTGAGATCATGACCTGACCCAAGGTCAGATGCTTAACTAATGAAGCCACCCAGGTGCCCCCATACATAATATTAAAAAAAAAAAAAATCTTATGCAAACAGCATTATAACACATCAGTCTAAAAGACGGCTTTAATCAAGTTGGTGTGCATTATCTCATCTAATTCATGCCAAACCCTAGGAGATTGATCATAGTGGTATTATCCCCACTTTACAGATAAGGAAACGAGGCAAGGGGAGGTGGCCGTCTTGTCCCATGTCTCAAGTAACAAGGGCAGCCAGGATTCAAACGCTGACCTCTGTCTCCTCAGCCTGCACTGAACCAACCGATGCCAATGAGAAGGCTGACTTTTTAATGTCTCCGTGTGATCTGGCAGATTCGCTGGTCGCTCTTCTGTGCCCGAGGAAGATCACCTTCTGGCAGCTGGGTGCTTCTCCCCAAAGTGTTCACTCGGGTCAACCACACACAGCGCTTCCATAAGGCATGCGTTTCTCAGCTACATTAATAGCAGTTGTTGGGGTGGCCAGAGAGAAAGCGTCCATGGCCAGAAATGACCCAGGGGCATTACTTACACAAGCTCATGAGCCCGGGCTGAGGGACAGGAAATGGCAGGCGGGTAGATCAGCTCTGCCCCATACTAGCTGTGTGTCCTTGGGCAAGTCACTTGCCCTCTCTGGAGAAGAGAGGCGGTTTAAGTACATGGTCCTCCTAAAGGTCCTTTCCCTGTAATACAGCACAGAGACTGAGAGCGGGGCCTCTGGGGTCAGAGACGGGAATTCAAGTCTTGGCCCTGCCTCTCCTAGAGGCCTTGATCTAGGACATCCCTTCACTTCTTGGGGGGCGAAGCTTCGCCAAGCACAGTCGGTGACTCGGGTGCCATCCTCAGGGACCGCAGTGAGCAGGCATGTTGTTCATACACGGAAAGGCTCTCTGCAAACGTGTAACCAGCAGCATCGTCCTTCTCTCCCGAGCCCTCGTCGCCCAGGCCGTCCAGCACCATGTCCGCAGCTCCCGCCAGCAACGGCGTGTTCGTCGTCATCCCGCCCGGCGATGCCAGCGGCCTCCGCCCGCCTCCAGCCATCCTGCCCAGCCCCTTGTGCCAGCCTCCCGGGGTGATGCAGTTTGAGGAGCCGCCGCTGGGGGCACAGACCCCAAGGGCCACCCAGCCGCCCGACCTGCGGCCCACGGAGACGGAGACGTTCCTGACGGGGGAGCCCAAAGCTTTAGGGGTAAGGAGACACCCCCCGCCCCCCACCCCCCTCCCAGGCCACCTGAGGCCCGTGCGCACAGGTGCCGGGAGGGAGCGTCCCAGCACCGGAGCACTCACGGACACCTCGGAAAGGGGCAGGCGGTCCATCTATACTTAGTGAGGACTTGAAGATTCCCCTGTGCACCAGACAGACAGACCCATCCCCCCTGGAGCGCACAGAGACCCCACCAGCCAAGAAATGGCGAACATGACTCCAAATAGGGTCATTCGGTCAAAAATGACGGATGTGGGACGGACGACGCTAGTGATGGGGGACAGCCAGGTCTCCGTGGGGAGATGGCAGGGAGGCTACAACCTGGAGGCTGAAGCCACGGGAACACGGGGAGCAAGGGGAAGGGCTCATCAGGTGGAGGGGGCAGCAGGTGCAAAGGCCCTGAGGTGGGAACGCGTGCAGCTTGTTCAAGATGAAATAGAAGGTTAACATGCTGGAATGAGAAGAGGGAGAGGAAGAAGGGAGAGGAGATGGAAGCTGGAGAGGTGGGCAGGGGGCAGCTCCTGCGGGCCCATGAGAGATGTCCCATGAGGTCTTTGCCAATCTCAGATGGCCTTGAGTTGTTGGTCTCCGGGCGGGAAGAAAATATCAAATAGGTAGATAGACGGACAGGCAGAGAGGCGGACATATTCATCCTCATACATACATATATAGTGTCTTCAGTTTGTCCCTTGGCCTCAGTTTCCCCAAATGGAAGATGTAAACATAGCTGAGGCAATGGCGGTGGTGATAATGGCGGTGATGACAGCTGTCGTCTCCCGGGCACGCACTGAGCATGGAATCTGCAGGCCCTGGCTCCTTAGATTCCCATCACCACCTTGTGAGACGGCGACCATGGCTCCCGTCGGACAGGTTAGGCAACAGAGGCTTATCAAGGCTAAGTCACTGGCCTGAGGCCACCCAGCTGCTAAGTGGCATCCTGTACCCCAGAATGGCCTGACCGTACAGTTCTGTTTTCAACCCCACCGCTCTGTAGCACGCAGGAGCTCTGGCTTGAACACGCTGGAATTCGAGATTCTACGCTAAAGGCTGCACCACGTCCACTGGTGTGCAAAGGGACCAGACACCGTGCACGGAGACGGGGTCCTCAGCCCCTGGAATCCCGAAGCCTCAGAGAGACCTGGGAATCCATGACCTCCAAAGGAATCCAACAAGACAAATCCACATTGCCGGAGAACCCAGAGAGTGGAAACTACACATGGGTGTTTGGGAGTGTCACCAGTAGACGAACACCAGCTTTCGAGGTGGCTGGCCAGCCACTTCAGCGCTGGGAGACCCCAGGCAAGTCGCTGGACATCTCTGAGCCTCAGTGTCCTCATCTCCAAATTAGGATAATAACACCGACCTCACCGTGGTGGGATTCGAGGAGGCCACGTCTATAAAATACGCAGCACGTTGCTTAATGAGGACGGGCACGGGGCCAGAGGTAGCTGGTGTTCCGTGAGCAGTAATGGCAGGTGTGGGAGTGTCCAGGAGCAGAAGAGCCCGCAGAGGACAGCCGGGCTGGTGGCGGGGACCCCATGCCACATAAGGAAACTGCAAAGACAAAAGATGTGCAGCTGAAGAGAGAACAGGAGAGAATATCCAAGGGGGGGGGGGGTGCCTATAAATATCCAAATCCTTGGCACGCGGGAAGACATGACTATTCCACGTGATCCCAAGAAAACGTTCCCCAGTCATCTGCTCCCAGTCAGAACTGCCCGTAAACGGACCACAGTGGTTTGCGTGGTGGTGGGCACCTCCCCACTGAGGGTTGGGGGGTGCTATTAAGAAGTCAGGAGCTGGAAAGGTCTCCTGAGTTAGGCAGAGGTTGAATTGGGGGGGGGGGTGACCTTCAACGTCCCTGCTCCGTTCTAGAACTCAATCTTTACCGAAAACGTATGGGGGGAAAAAAAAGTGGCAGAACTTACCAGAAGCCCACATGTCCCCTTCCTTGGGAAAACCGTCCTACTTCTGGGAATGGATCAACTTCGAAAAACCCAAATCCGAGTCCAGATGTCAGCTCCCAGCACACAGCTGGAATGGACCGGTGACAGGCACTGAAATGAGAGAGATGCTCGAGGAGATACTCTCTGCAGGATGCAGGGCGACGAGGAGGGAAAGGGTGAGGCATCCGGTGCAGGGAATGTTGTGCCATTGAAACGAGAGCTCAGAAAACCGGGTAGCAACCCAGCGGTGCTGGACATCCACGGGTGAGAGCACAAAGCAGATGCAGATCTGTAGAAACGCGGCAACAGGCGAGGGGTTGGGGGGGGGCCCTCAGATGTGGGAGCTGGCTTTCCTCCTTAAGACAGTCCTTGTTGGTTGTTATAGGGATGTCTCCTCAAAAGAGCAGAATCGGAGTTTAGTTCCAAGCATAAAGGTGGGGGGGGGGGGGGGGGGGTTGGAGTGCAGGTTCTCCCCGCGGCCGGCAGGGGGCGGTGTGGAGCCCGCCCTGCTGAGCCGCGCCTGCTCCCGCAGACCGTCCAGATCCTCATCGGCCTCATCCACCTGGGCTTCGGCAGCGTGCTGCTCATGGTGCGCCGTGGCCACGTGGGGATGCTCTTCATCGAAGGCGGCGTCCCCTTCTGGGGAGGAGCCTGCGTGAGTGCCGGGGGGGCCATCTGGGGCTCGCCTTTCACCTCCACACCCGCCCCCTCCCACATTCCCTGGGGCACAGCCGCCCCGGGAGGAAGGGGCCTGAATCTAAATCCAGCTCCTAACTGCAAACCCTACTCCAGGCGCCACTCCTGCCTAGGAAAAGCTCCCAGCCAAGAGCCAAGAGGATGGGACGCAGGGCTAAAGGGCACTGACCACCTGGGTATTACCTGAATGCCAAGTCTCACCCCCAGAAACCCTTCTACTCCCCCTCATGGGTCTCAGCCCTGCAAGAGCTCCGTCCCCTGGGAGTCTGATCAGCTCCGAACCCCCCACCCCCACCCCAGCCCATTCCTGTGCTCACATCCCGCCCGGCCCGCCTGGCCTTCCACTCCAGCAGAATCAGGGAGCACGTGGCCAGTGGGCAATCTCGAACATCAAGAGAGCACTTCGGGGTTTACGTAGCCCCATCCCAGACCGGAGTCTCCCAGCTGCCCCGGGGACGGGGTGTGGGCGTGCAGACTTGGGAATGAGGCCAGTGGGGTCTGAATCCCAGCACCACTGTGGGTCGCCATGGAGTCACTCAGTCTCCAGGCCTGGCGTCCTCGTCTGAAAAGCATAGTCCTGGCCCTGCCTGTCCTCTAGTTTGAGGAAATCAAAAACTAATGCGAGTAGGAGCTAATTACCAGCAAATGGTGACCATCACTTTGCAACAATTTCCCCTTTAGAGAGAGCCAGATTTGCATGAGATGTGAATGATGTCCCTCGAAAACATGCACCTCACCAGCTACCGCCCTAGTTCCCGGGACAGGCCCCTAGTAACCAGGGGACACCCTTACAGAGAGATCCCAAGGTTGCTGGCCGGGAGGCAGGGAAGGTGACAGCCAAGGGGCCACTGCCCTCGCCCTGGTGCCCACGGCTTTGACAGAGCCCAGGCATGGTGTGACCTGCCCCGTGTCCCGGCCGAAGCCTCACCGGGGTCCCCTCGTCTCCACACAGTTCGTCATCTCAGGGTCCCTCTCCGTGGCAGCCGAGAAGAACCACACCAGCTGCCTCGTAAGTCTGAATGGGGGACTCGGGGCCACGGCTGAGTCCTCTCCACTCTGCCCCTCCCATCCATTCACTCACTCAACAAACATTCCCTGGGGGCCTGCTGAGTGCCCGGTGCCCGAGGACAGCCAGACAGCACGGACACAGGACAGGAGGAACCAAGCAAGATACGCTTTCGACATACAGTACAGGGCAGCAAGTGAGGGTCCACAGACAGAGTGCTCATGGCCCTTCAGAGAAAAGGTCTCTTGGAAGAGGAGGAGGCTAAGTGAGGCCTTGGTGGGCTGGGAGGACTTAGAAATCCGGTGGTGGGAAAAGCATGAGAAGACAAGGAGAAGGCCTGGGCAGGGTTGCCATGGAAACCATGTGTGGCTCCACGAGACCGGGGCAGAGGTCTGGGGAAACAGGTGGAAAGAAATCAGACGGAGAGACACGTGGAAAGAAATCAGACGGAGAGACGCGCTTGGTCGTCATGGGTAGTGGCTGGGACCCCTCTGCGGGCAATGGGAGGCGATGTGGGGTTTGCAGGGGAGCGCATCCAGCCAGCAGGCTCCAGGCTCAGCACAGCAGGGAAGGCCAAGGCCCTGCCCTCCTGGGGCTTACACTCCAGTGTCTGGTAACAGTTACAGACAGTCTGGTAACAGTTACAGATCTGTAAGTAGTTACAGATCGTGAAAAGTGCCACAAAGAAGCAGGGGCAGGGGGGCGGGGGGAGAAGGGGAAGGAATAACGGGTGTCATTCCGCTCAGCCCGGACAGTCTAGGGTCCTGGGGCAGGTGCCACTGAGCTCGCTGTTCAGAGGGAGACAGCCACAGAAGAGCCCGGGGACCAGTATCCCATGGGGAAGAGGCTGGCCGTGGGGACAGAAGCCAGGGTGGGTTATAAGAGATGAAGGAGGCAGAGAAGGAGGACACAACAGAGAGGGAGAGGGGAGGGAGACGAATCAGGGCCTAAAGGAGACTGTGGGATTTATTATTTTAAGGGCCTTTATTTCAGGGAGGCCACTGCGAGCAGAAGCAGGGACCCATTGTCCTATTTGGACTCTCGGGGGCCGTCCGGTGCTGGGCCAGGTGGAGAATGGGTCACAACCGGGCAGGACTGGACTCGGGGACCCTCAGGCTGTGAAGTCCAGGAGCTCAGGGACCTGACTTGTCTCCGCGCTCACAGCGCCTCTGACAGCATCCGGCTGCAGCACATACTTAACAGCACTTGGTTGGATTAATTGACCAATTAGTCGATTTCCCGTGAGGCCAGTCAGGGCCCCATGACCTCCTCAATGGCGTAAAAAAAGAAAAGAAAGGCAGAAGAAGAGTCAGGGATCTTTGAACCTGAGGGGGTCCCACAGTCCCAATCCCCCGATGTAAGGCCAGGGCAATGCAGCCAGAAGGTTCCAGCTGCTGGGTCAAAAGAGCATCAGGTTTCGGCTGCCGAGGGAGGGTGAGCCCTGAGTGACCGTCTGGACCACCCAGACATCCCCTTGACCCGAAGCCCGGGGCCTCCCCGTGAGCGGTTGGCCTACCCTCACCTCAGCACCTGCCCCTAGACTCTCCCCTGCCCCCTGCGCCCTGGAGTCTGCAGTGTGGAATCTCATGGAAGGGACCCCATCACCCTCCCAGCCGGGCCTCGGTGTCCACAGCAGAGGGCCTCCCTGACTCTTGCTTCTGGGGCAGCTGCACCCGCAGGGCACAGGCCTGGGGGGCGGGCACCCTGAGGGTAGGCAGGGACCCTGCTGCAGACCCCGCCCACAGTGAAAGCGGCAGGGCGACCCTGAGGCGTGGGAGGAGCACCGGAGAAGGGAGAGGGGTCAGAAACGCATGCGTCGCGTCCCGTCCCGTCGCAGGGTGGCCGGCCACTGAGCCCTGGCCCAGGGAGGCGGGGGTGGGAGGGCTGTTGCCTCTTCCTCTGTCCTTTCTCCTCCTGGCCTCTCCCCTCTGCTCCTCTCCTTCCTGCAGGTGAGAAGCAGCCTGGGGACAAACATTCTCAGCGCCGTGGCGGGCTTTGCGGGGACAGCCATCCTGCTCATGGATTTCGGTGTCACTAACTGGGTGTGTTGTCAGACGCCCCCCCCCCCCCCCCGGAGTGGAGATCATGGGAGAGCCACATCCAGGAGGTGGGGGGAGGCGAGAGTGAGCGGCACCCGGAGCCCCAGGGCCCTGGGCCCGGGCAGAGTTTGTCAGTCCCCACAGACCCCATGGGGGCATAGACCCCGTGACCCCATTCCCAAGAACAGGCCTGGGGACACGGAGGGGCGGCCCCGCGGAGGGAAGGGGAGGGCACAGGACGCACGGCAGGAGGCCTGGCTCCAGCTCCAGCTCCAGCTCTGCCAGCCTGGCTGTGGGACCTCGGGCAAGTTACCGTCCCCCTGGGGCCCCTTCCTCCCATAGAGCCCCGGGCTTGCCTTGACTGTGGGTGTGGTCCCCAGGATGTGGGCAGGGGCTATCTGGCCGTGCTTACCATCTTCACCATCCTGGAGTTCTTCATTGCGGTCATTGCCACCCACTTCGGGTGTCAAGCCACCAGCGCTCAAGCCAACACGGTGAGTACCCCACCCCCATCCGCCCACCCCACCCGGGGCCTCTGAGGAGGGCTGTTGGCTGGGAAGGCTCTGCTTCCAGCCTCTTCCTTCTTCCTTCGGGAAAGCAATTGGGAGCGGCAACGAGTCCCTCTTCCTCCCCTCTGCGCCCCCCCGCCACCCCACTCTTGCACATCTGGGGACCCAGCGAAGTCTTTGGGGAGGATGGAACTATTCTCCTCGCGACCGCAAGGGGGCGTCAGGACCAAGGGACCAGCGGCTCTGGGAGCCTGGTTGCAGAGCCCGGGGAGGTCCTGGAGGGCAGTACTGTGCACAGAGGCAGTTCGCAGGCCGTGAGGCACAGACAGGGGCATCACAGAGGGCAGCGCACTTCAGGGAGAAATTAGCTTAGCTTCCCCAAATCTGGAGGACAGTGAAGACAGGAAGGGGGGGGCGGGTAGGGCGTTGGTGGAGTAAAGGCGGCCTCAGGCGGGAAAGGCAAGCCGTAGGGTCGGGGTGCTGCTTGGGAGGTGGCTTTGTGCAAACTGGGAGGTGAGGCCACTGAAAGGCTTTGCGCGGAGGAGTGCGCGCTCACAGGGAGGGAAACTAACCCGGAGGGTCGGCCTTGAACCTTGAACACCCAAGGGAGGGAGCCGGGGCAGGGGCCGCCCAGGGAGAAAGAACGCCCGAACTTTAGCTCCTAGAGAAAGGCGACTCTTGTCTCTTTTGTTCACTGCTGCACTCCCAACGCCTAATCGGCCCCCGTAAATATTTTTGAAATATTAGTGGAGCCGGTGAGTCAGCCTATTCTTCCCTTACGGAATTCATTACTAGGGCGCTGTTCTCAGAATGACCACAGGGGGGCACTGTTGCAACACCGCCCGGAGGCACCAGAGCCCTCCAGGACTGTCAGGGGTTCTTTCTTTGCAGCCTGTGATTTTCCTGCCCCACGCCTTCAGCGCTGACTTCAACATCCCCAGCCCCGCAGCCTCTCCGCCTCCCGCCTACGACAATGTGGCATATGTGCCCAAGGAGTCATCCGAGTAGAGGTCACTCCGCCGGTTGGAGTCCAGCCTGTCCCCCGTGGGCCCAGCCTTTCCCCCACCCCCACCGCGTTAATCTGGGGGCAGCCCATCCCCCCACCCCCATCCTCACACATCGTGGCACCCAGGTGAAGTGTTCCCCCGGGGACGTCTGTCCCACACATCTCCCTCAGTGGCTTCTTTCCTAAAAGAGCTAGTTGATGTCAAGGGTGGGTGTCCCTCACTCAGCTCCCTGGGCCCTGTCACCCTTCTGGAACTGTCCCCATGTGCTGCTCTGCATTTCTCTCGGTTTCCTCGGGGGAATCCCTGGCCTCACTGGCAGACAGGTTCAAGGCTGCCCTCGGGTCTTGGGAAGACCGTTAAGCTCAGGAGCCCAGAATCCTCCAGAAAAGAGTCCAAGTGCTGAGGCCACACAGCTGGCCGTGGCCTGACCTCAGGGCTCCAGGCTCCAGGACCAGCTCTCTGCTTTGCAATCATGGCAATGTCATGAGCCTCAGTTTTCCCACCTGGAAACTAAAGCATTAACTACATGGCATCCAAGGCCCTTCCCAGGGCTCCTCGAAGTCCTGGTCTAAGTCAGGCGATGTCCCCCCAGGCCCCTGGAGAAGCTCATTTTCCTTATGTATTAAATGGAGTCAGGTTTGGGGAGGGTGCAGGGGAGGGCTGAGGCCAGCCCACTGCACCCCAGTCAGCATCCACAGGTGCACAGCCATGGCAGCCCCTCCCCACCGGGGACCAGAGCTTCCCCTGAAGGTCACTGTGAGCTGAGCTGGGGTCTGAGGCAGAGGACACACCCCTACCAGATGTCAGAGGTCCTGGTGGGTGGCTCGTCTCATCCATACCACAGAGGGAAATAAACAGAGTGGCTTTGAACTGGTCTCACTGCAGTGACTTTTTCTTTTTAACCACAGGGGCTTTGAAGGCTTGTCCCATATTTATCAGAAGATCTGGGTCCCCCTGTCACAGAAAGGGGGCATCTGTGGGAGCTGGGGTCTGGGTGGGATGATCCCGGCACTTGGTCTGGCCCCACCTGAGCCCAGACGAGCAGGCATCCATATCCCCATTCTACAACTGAGCTAGAAGAGGTCGAATCAAGTGCCCAAGGCCACTGGGCTAGCGAGAGGCAATGCTGGGATTTGAACCTAGTTCCTGCTAACGTCGGAGTCCGTGTGTCACCACACGGCTCTCCAGGTCCAAAACCAAGTGCTTTCCACCAACCCCTGCCCCTCCTGCCTCCTGCTTTTTCATCCCAAAGACGGGTTGGCTGCGTTTCTCAGCACCCACACTTCTTCATCTAACAAGCTCCTGCTCCTGCTTCAAAACCCTATTTGACTGTTGCCCCTTCCGTGAGGTCTTCCCAAAGGCAGGCAGTTGGCTGGTGCCGTTCAGCCCTTTCAGGAAGCCCTGGCCCCCAGGTCCTGCGAGTGCAGAGTTGGGGTGGGGTTACAACCAGCTCTGGCTTTCAAAATCCGTAGACCAGATCGGAGGACTCACAGCGGGCAGTTTTGTGCGGTTTAATTTTCCAAGTGTGAAAATTGCAGCGTGTCCCTTCTCTCCCAGCTTGAAAGCCACCCACCCCAAAAGCCTTCAACTACGGGCTTCCTTTCTCTCTTTTTGATGGAGTCTGCTTCCTCCCTTCCCACTCGCTCTGCTGAAATTGTTCTCTCCAAGGCTGCTGCCATGCTTGGTGACCTCCTTGTCACCAAGATCAATGGGCTTTTAAAAAGCCTTGTTTTAATAACGACCGCTCCATCCATCCCTTAAAATTCACCTCCCCTGGACTCCTCTGGGCACTGCACGCTCCTCGGCAAGTGCTTCTTGAGCACCTGCTGTGTGTCCGGGCTCTAGGGACACCGGGAGTTGGCCAACGTCTCTGTCCTCGTGGCGCTTACATTGGCTTCCAAATCTGCCTCCCACCCAGACCTCTCCTGCGAGCCAGCTCCAGCATTGGCTTTCCTCCCACCGACAAGGAATTTGCAGCCTCTGTTCCAGCTCAAGCCATCTTCCCTCCTGGGTCCCCTGTGTCAGTCAGTGCCCAAGGCAGAATCTGAGAGCCATCTTGGTCCCCGCACATTCATCCCCACGTATGATCACCCACGCGATTCTCCTGGCTCTTTCCAACTCGGACCCCTCCCTCCAGCCTCCTCCCAGCACCTTTGGACCACTGTCATCTCTCACCCACGTTGTGACATCCATCAGCGGACCTTATAGCCTGTGTCCCTGGCTCTCAGCTGGCTCTGCCCATCTCTAGGCTAGATAACAGCCAGAGGGAATTTTCTAAGGCACAAAAGCCATGGGGTTACTGCCCTGCCACTTGGGGCTCTCCTTTGCCCTGAAGCTAAAGTCCAAGAGTCCCAGGGAGGTTTACAAAGCCCTGGAGACAGAGCCTGCTCCCCTCTCTTGTCTCTCCCCATCCTCCTCCGGCACGTGACCCACAGCCATACTGAACCTGGGAGACCCTTCGGCCTGGAGAGCAGTCCCTGCTGGCCCGCATTCTCCCATCTGCCCCACTGAGCTCCCACCCTCCTTCAGACCTCCGTGTAGATGCCACCTCCTCCGGGAAGCCTTCCCTATCCCCATCCTTCTCTCCCCCCGTCTAGGTGAGGTGGCCTCTGCTGGGCTGTTCACACAGCCACACACCCAGGGTCACATCTCGTCCCCGCCAGGCAGCTGCCTGCCTCCCGGACCCTCTTCCCCGCTGGGCTCTATCGGTTTCCTGCAGCTGCTGTAACTAATTTCTACAAACTCAGTGTTTTCAACAACACATTCATCCTCCGGAGGTCAGGAGTCCTGAGGTCAAGGTAATTGGCAAGGCCAAGTGCCTTGTGGAAGCTCTAGGGGAGAATCTGTTTTGCTTGCTTTTTCCAGCTTTCAAGGCCCTGTGGCAACCCTCGGCGGGTGACCCTGGCCTCCACCTTCAAAGCCAGCAGCCCTTCCGGTCACTCTCACCGACTCAGCTCCTGCTGCCTCCCTCATGGAGGGCCCCTGTGATTATATGGGGTCCACCCGCTAGGCCAGGATGATGCCCCCTTCTCAGGACCCTTAACTCAATGGCATCTGCAAAGTCTTTCTACTGCAGCAGGTAACCAAGTCATAGGTTCCAGGATTAGGATGTGTTCATTGCCAGGCGGGGGGGCGGGGGGGGTCCCTATCCTGCCTGTCACAGCCCCCAAGCTCCTCAAGGGCAGGGCAGACTCCCCGCCCCTGCGGGACCTCCAGCCCATAGCAGCGTGGCCGGCCCATCCTAAGCGCTCCTTAACACTTCTGAGAGTGAGTCGGTTAACGCACGAGGGTGCGGGGAGGGGGGGGGCGGGTGTGCCTGTGTGCGTGTGCGTCGCGTGTTATTTGTGACTATGTGGTGAAGCAGAAACCTCTAACCCAGTGAAAAACCACAGCTTCCAGAAAAACATTCATCCCACGATCAAGGAACTAAAGGTGTGGGTGACGAATTGGTGCAAAGCGGGGACGCACAACACAGGAGGTCACGGGGCACCAACCAGCCTGCAGACGGTGGTGGGTGGGTGTCCCGACAGGAGACATGGACCTTCCCGAGCCGCTGATGGCCCGGCCTCGCCTCTCGCAGAAAGGCTGTCCAGTCCGGCAGGTCTGACAGGCGAGCGACCTTGCAGCGGGCGTGACGGCTGGGTGTGAGGGACCCCTGGGAGCGCACGGTGACTCTAATACTCATACACAGCCCCTGACACGGGGCAGGCACGGCTGGAAGCATTTTAATATTCCAACTCATTGAACCCTCTAGCAACGCCTTCCAGAGGTATTGTGATCCCTGCTTTGCAGAGGGAAAAACTGAGGCCCAGAGAGGTCAGATAATTCACCCGAGCTCTCACGGCTACAAAGTGGTAGAATCAGAGGTAACAAGATGCTCCTGACACGATTGGAGAAACTGGAACACTGACCAGACGTTTGACGCTCAGTAGGTAGCAAGGGCTGGGCCAGCGCAGCTCTCTCTGTGCCGCACGGGAGTCGTCGCAAAACCGTACTGCTCAGGGCTCCGCAGGGTCACCGCGCTGAGCTTCAGTGCAGCCCAGTGGGCACCAAAACCTCACATGCCTTAATTGTTTAGTTGTGACACAGGATCGTCGTCTTTTTAAATATTTTTTAATGTTGCAGATTCTGTGTCTCCCTCTCTCTCTGCTCCTGCCCTGCTCGCATTCTGTCTCTGTCTCTCAAAAAGCGAATAAATGTTAAAAATATATATATATATTTAAAAAAAAAACAGGGGGGTTGCCTGGGTGCCTCAGTCAGTTGGGCGTCCGACTTCATCTCAGGTCATGATCTCACGTTTCGTGAGTTCGAGCCCTGCGTCAGGCTCTGTGCTGACAGCTCGGAGCCTGGCGCCCCGGGATCATAGTCTTTTTAAAGAGTCCTTATCTTTCAGAGATAAATCCTGCCATGTTTACACATGCAGCTGTGGGACCCCAGAGCACTGCTTCCCCATGGGGAGGAGTGGGGGCAGATGGACAAGGTCAGCTACAAGCCCATGACCGCTGCAACCCAGGCAATGGTATGCGGGCGTTCACTGGACCATTTTCTCTACGTTTGGAAATGTCTGAAATTTTCCAAAGCTGGAAAGGTTTTTTTTTAACTTTGTTTATTTATTTATGGGGGGGGGGGGGGCAGAGAGAGAGGGAGAGAAAAGAATCCCAAGCAGGTTCTGCACGGTCAGCGCACAGCCGAATGAGGGACTCGAATGCACCAGCCGCGAGATCATGACCTGAGCCGAAATCGAGAGTCAGGCACCTAACCGACTGAGCCACCCAGGCCCCCAGAAAGATATTTTCAAAGGCTCAACCGTGACTCTATGAAGATTTACAACCTTCTTCACCCCATCTGTCCCGCATTGTAAACAGGTTAAGTTGATTTGCCGAAGGAAATCTGCAGCTGTAAAGAGGGTGCAAGGATTTCTACCTGCCTGGGTTTGGGGGGTGGGGGAAGATGCTCACAGCTCACAGGCTGCTGGGCATGAAGCAGAAGGCGGGGCCAGGAGGGAAAGGATCCAAAGTCTAATGTCATAAAGACGTTCTGATCTTCTGCCATTGTCTCTGTGGGGCTGAGTCGGATCCAGAGGGCGGAGCATGGCCGGAAGCTCCCAGTGGAGGTCCCAGGGCCAGGTGAGTGGTCCCCTACAGCAGGAATAAGGAGGGGAGTGTCTTCAGTCGGATTCTATAGAAGCAGAGCCTGAGGCAAGGGTTTTGTGCGACTGGTTTATGAGGGAGGGCAAATGGGGAGAAGAGCAAAAATTAGGACGGGCAGGTGAAAGAATCCAAGGACAGATGTGGTTTTAGCTGACCACTGGCTTCAGCCTGATCCCACGCCAGGGGTGCTTGGGAGCACAGGCTTGGTCCTGCCCTGAGGCAAAGGGACTGTCCTCTTATTCCCTGTGCCAGTCAGTCATTGACTGCAGATTGGGGGAGGGGTGTAACTAAACTCCCAGAAGGGAGCGGTTAGGAGCCCTTGGCACCAGCGATTGCAGCAGCTGGCAATGGGTGCCCCACCCCCCGGTAAATGGGGAGCGGGGAGCACCAACAGCATCTGCCCCAAGGAGGAACCCACTGCCTAGAACCCACCTGCCACCAGTCATGGACCATTAGAGGTGGGAAGGGCTGTAGCTGTTTCCATTCCAATCCCAGAAACTCTCTCTCCTTCTCTCTCTCTCTCTCTCTCTCACACACACACACACACACACACACACACAAATTATGAGAACACAGAGCCCCAAAGAGGGGAATGGATTTGCCCAAGACCACGCAGGGCCAGTGCTAGAATCCAGGCCTCCTGACTCCACCCTAGAGTGGAGGCCTCCATTTCCTGCTGGCCCCTGGGCTCCTTGCTGGGGACTGTCCCCTTATACCAGCATGCTGTCCTGAAACACTAGGGGAAGCCGGCTTCCAGGAGCTGAAGGAACAAAGGGTACCTGGGCCCTGGCTGGCTTTCCTGGAAACGCCAGGTTGGCTGGGCCTTCGGGGCCTCAGCTGGCTGCGGGACAGGGGAGGGACCAAGGCCATCGCCCCCCCCTGGGTCTCTGGCTGCCCCCCACCCCCACCCCAATCAGCCCATCTCCACCCAAGCAGCTCTGTACCAGGTTCTGGAGGAATGGGACACGGGGTGGGGGGCGGGGGCACGGAGAGGGGGGGCAATAGTGTGTAAGCCCTCTAAGGGCTCGTAGCCCACGCCCTTCTCAGAAAGTGGGAACCTCACAGCAGACAGACTGTCCCTCTGGTTCCCCCAAGTCCCGCCCTCAGCACCCCTCCCTCCCGGTGGCGGGACATCCCCGCAGCAGACCCCTGTCCCGAGAGAGAGTTGTTTGAAATTGGAAGTGGCACCTAGGGATCGCAGTCCAATCCCCACCCCGACCACACACGATATGCGCAGGAGAAAACCAAAGAGGGGGCAAAGAAGGCCAAAATCCCCTAGAACCAAATGTTTGCCAGTTTAAGGCCTCTCGGCCCAAAACCGTTCCACACACAACAACTGTAGGGTCCATGGACTACGAGAAAAAAGGTTCCATGGCCAATCCAGTGTGGGAAATGTCCTTAGTGTTAAAATCGGGTGCTCCCCTACAAGAATTCTCAGGCCCTCCGCTCTGCTAAAGAGGGCGAAGTCGATAACCAGGATTTCCCAGAATTTCCCTTCTGCTCCTTTTCTGTCCTTGTCTGTGTTCCATGGAATACATCTTGAGAAGGGTTACTCTGCTTCCCTGAACACAACCCCCAAGTGGATATTTGAACCCTTCCCACTGCCACATTCTGGAAAGCGAAAGCCCAGGTACGAGGCGCACCTCCGGGGACCGGGGTCTCACGATCTCCCCGGACGACCCAGTCCGGCCGGGGGCATCTTCCTTCTTTCGTGCTCCCCAGTGGCGTCCAGGCTCAGCTCTAAGCCCCGCCTTCCCCTGGTACACCAGAGAAGTCTAGTCGCAGTGGGTGGCTGACTGGATAGGCCTCTGCCACCAGCTGCGCCCCCCACCCCGCGCCCCCACCAGTCCAGCTGGCTCTGTCGGAGGGGCTCTGCCCGAAATGCTGGGAATGGAGAGAACAAATCCCCAGACGTAGCTGGGTCAGGTCACCGAAGAGTCACATCATGATGTCGTGCATCATGGTGAATCTGGGCTCAGCTGCTGGGACCCCCAGCCTCTCCGCTGAATCGGGAACCAGGCCAACGGAGACATTTGTCAGAGGGCCCGGCAGCCAGGGCAGAGCAGTGGCATCCAACCACACAGAGACCCAAACCTCAGGCGCTTTCTTGCTGTGTGACTTCGGCCAAGGCCTCGGACCTCCCTGAGGCTTCGTGTCTTCGTTTACAGAATGGAGCCAACTTCCCGGGGACTGAGGCACGTCACGTAGCATGGAGCCCGTGCCCCCCGTCTGGCCCTTTGGCCCTTGGACACGGTCCCTTCCTTTCCTCCCCGTCTGGAATTTAGCTACCCGGGCCCCTTGTCCGTCCCAGCCTCCCCAAAGCTCTTTCCCCCTCCTGCTTCCCGCACCCCCACGGCAGGAAGCCTACAAAAATGGGGGTGCTCAAGCAGCACCTCCTGAACTCATTCAGTTGGGATTAAAATTGAGAATTAAAATTGAGGGGAAGGTGCGCCCCCCCCTTTCTTTTTACCAAAAAAGAGTAAGAATGGTCCACTTCCGTTACTTGTGAGTCCCATCCCCGTGGACAACTGTCTCCTACCTCGATTTCCATAAACTGGCTCCCCTCCCCTCCGCACCCCACCTCACTCCTGTTCTCCTGGGAAAGACCAGCTTTTCTCACTAAGTCCCCAGGCAGCCCCCAAGCCCCACGTGCCCCAGCATCCATCAGTGTACAACATCGTGACCGGGACCCTCAGCAAGTGGTGATTTCAGTCCCCCGCAAGGTTTTCCCTCAACCTCTCTCTCACGCCTCTTAAAACATCCAGAACGTTTCCTTTCATTCACTGAGGCAACAGTGTGTAAACGATTTAAGCGCACGCACTCGGGAGCCAGTCTGCCAGGCTTTGAGTCCCAGCCCAGTCATTTCCTGACTGTGTGACCTTGGGCAAGTGGCTTAACCTCTCTGGGCCTCATCTGCAACATGGAAACAAGCCCCAGGACTTCCCCAGAGGTTTGGGACAAGGATGACATCGGATAATGCATGTAAAGTGCTTACCCCACTGCCAAGAACGGAGAAAATGTTTGTAAATGTTGACTCACTGTTAAATATTGACTTCCTGGCTCAGCGTTGACCTATAGCAGGTCCTCAGCAGAAGTTTCCTTCCATCCTCTTTCCCATCAAGAGGAACCACCATCGCCAGTTTGGATGTGTTCTGCATGCAATGGCTGGGAATTTGACCCTTTCTTCTGCCCCAGAAGGAGCGGTGTCCCTGCAGTGCCACAGAGGCTAGAAGCGGCCGGTCCTCCCCATCCCCAGAAGCCAGGTTATTCCAGGTCAAACCAAGTTCAGGGGTTACTGAGCAGGGCAGACTGTTCTGGAAGGCCCTGGCCCGGAGAACAGAGGTGACACTGAGTCTGGCCGGACATAAGCCCCAGAAATGAGATGCGTTCTGCCCCAGCCTCTCTCCCTCATCCGCAGCTAAGGTCCTTGGCCCAAGTCCTGGCAGCAGAAGGCTATGGAGTGGCCACAATTATTCCCAGATCGGAAGTGAGGGAGCTCCCGCCATGGCAGACCCCCAGCCCAACACAGCCCGGCCAGAGATACCTGCCCCAGGAGCCGAGCCCACCGGGCTTCCTGCCTCCAGCCTGGCACCAGCAGAAGCCCAGGAAGAGGAGCAGCCTTCTCAAGGAGCTGGGCGTGAGTGCCCACTTCCTGGGGCCCTGGAAGTGGGGGAGGGGGACACCCGGGGAGCCCCGAGGAGGGAGGGAGAGAGGAGAGCCTCCAGCTGCCCTGCTTCACACTCCTGCTCGGATTGAAAACAAAATGCCACCGAGGGGTGGGAGAGGCTGTCTACACCTGCACCAGCACTGGCTCCGTGTCACTCACAGCAAGTCCTCAACAGAAGTCTCTCCCCTTCCCTTCTCTTCCGTCCCCTCCCCCCGCCCCCCCTCACCCCCGCCCTGGGAGGCCCCAGCAGCACCACAGACGGAGGGACAATTACTGGATTCCCTCTCCAAGGGCCCAGTCCTTCCCCATAGACCCACCAGGATCCCTTAGAAGGTGGGCAGTGGGCTGGGATCAGCCAGCTGGCGCAGGGCACCAGCGGGTGCCCCCAGCAGTGGCTGCCTGTTCCCACCCGCCCCCAGGCCTTCCATGTTGTCATCGCTCTGCTGCACTTGTTCTTTGGGACTTACCTGGTCTCTACTGTCACGGATCTTCACCTGGTGGTGCTGAAGTCTTGGTATCCGTTCTGGGGGGCTGCCTCTGTGAGTAGGTACCAAAACACGGGCCGGATGTGGGGGTCCGTGGGCAGGCCTGGGGGACCCCGGCATTGGGGGCTGGACGTAGGTGGGTCAGAATGAGCTACTGAGGGGGGGGGAGCGTGTGCCCACCCCTTTCTCCAGCCTCCGTGCCGCTGCTTCTGTCCTCTCGGCCCCTCCCAGGAGGCCCCTTCAGGCCTGCATCCCAGGGGAGCACTCCCGGGCTGTCTGCACACTCCCCTAACCCGACACACGCATCGGCAGGAGGGCGAGCACGAGCTGGGGACTTGGGAGGGGTCGGGAGGCACCGGGCACAGCTGCATCCCCGGTGTGGGGGCTCGGGTGCACAGGGGAGACCAGCATGGCCAGGGCAGGTCCAGGATGGGCCACGTGGTGGGCAGGGGGAGATCCTTGCCACCAGAGCTCGGCTTTCTCAGACAGTAGCCAGAAGAGAGCGAATTTGTGGGTTTCAGGGGACCCCGACCTCCCTCATGACTGTTGCCAATCTGGCCTGCAGTTTCTCATTTCAGGGATCTTGGTGATAACGACGGACATGGTCTTGAACACTTATCTGGTGAGTGGAAACAGTGAGGTCACTCCCTCCCGTCCCAGTCCCCAGTCCTCCCCGGGTCAGCTCTGTGAAGGGCGTCCGTGTGGAGGACAGATTCGGGAAGCCGTTCTCTGGGATTCGCCGGGAGCAGGCACGAGTCTTCCCGACAGCAGAAGGGTCCCCGGGGCCCCGAGGTCCACCCCTCCCCCACTGCCCTTCCTGGGCCCCAGTTCTGTCCTCACGTCCGGCCCGTCTGGCCTCATGTCTGCACACCGCGGCCCGACCCGTTGTTCCGCAGCGCAAGTCTGACCCCACCCCTCCGTGGCTGTCCACCTCCTTGGTGCCCAGGAGCCCCTGCTTGCCTCCAATAGCAGCAAGTCCACGAGGCCTGCGGGCCCTGGCCCGCTTTCTATCTGCTTCTCATCTCCAGAGACACCACCGGCCAGACAGGACTCTGTCCTCCTCTGTGCCGCCCTGTCCGCGGCCTGAGAACTTTGCCCGCTCCGGGTGGCACATTCTCACCCCGCTCTGGCTCACTCCTGATCATTCTTCAAAACTCAGCCTCCGTGCCCCGTCCTCCTGGTAGTCTTTCCCCACCTGCTATGGCTGGCTTCTGTATCCCCACAGCTTGTTGGACTTACCTGTCTTCTCATCTCTCTGCGGTACACTAAGCCGTGGGGTGTCTGAGCACCTTTCTAGGCACAGGTGGGCTGGAGCAGCCCGGGATGGCCCGAGTGGGCCCAGAGTAAACACCGACACAAGACTGGCCAGATGGACGGACATCGGTGACAGAAGGACCCTTCCTACCCCCTCCTACTTCATGGCCTCAGCCCACCTTCTGCCCCACAAGCCCTGGCCTGGCCCACATTTGTGCCCTTCCGGCCGGGCTGGGCTGGGGCTATCCCCCTGCCTTCTCAAGAGGCATAGATCACAGGGCAGTGTGCTGCCATTTACCCACAGAGGCAGGGGATGCATGGCAAAAACCTGCCATTCCTCCTGGGCTGGGCCCCTTTCGGAACCAGAAGGCTCCCCCTTCCTACGCCTGGGCAGAGGGAGGCTTTACTGCAGGGACGTCCGTCCTGGTACAAGTTGGAGTTTCCATATGTTCACACTCTGTCCATTACAAGGGTTTGTTCTTGATAAGAGGCTCTTGGAATCGTGTTTAACCCAAGACGGTGAGGAACGGGGACATTTCAGGGACCGTGGCGGGTGGGGACGGAGGCAGACCCAGAGTGTGTGAGCGTGGGGCACCTTTGGGGCTCCTTCTGCTCTAGCCTATGGAGAGGGGGGGATGGGTAAGGGGCCATTTGGACGTCCAGTGCCCTGACCAGGCGACATATTTGACGCCAGGATGGTCAAAACCAGCTTGGCGAGGGAGACAGTGGTGGGAACATCCCCCTTCGGTACAAAGTCTGTGGGTCGGGAAACAGCCCTTGGGTTCCCCCAACCCTGTCCCATAGAAGGTGAAAGCCACCTGGGCCCCCCCCCCCCCGGTGGTCAGCTATCTCAGAAAGTCACATTTAAATGAGGAGCCTCGGGTCCAGAGACAGGCAGAGTCTTTCCTGAGGCCACGGAGCAAGCACCTGGCAGGCCTAGACACAGGGCCTAGATCTGGGTCTCTAACTTTTGGGCGACGGTTGTGACTTTTGCTTGTAGAAGATACTTTGCCTGACAGCACACGGCGTCAGCTTCTTCTGCGTGCTAGCGGGCCTCTTTGTCATTGCCAAAGATCTCTTTCTGGAGAGGACGTTTGATTTCCCGATCTGGACCCCGTACCCCAACAGCACAGTGAGTGCCCCAGCCCCGAGGGTCCCCATGACTCCCAGGAAGGTGCGGCCTTGGGCTTGGCCAGGAGGACGCTTCTGGCTCTCAGGAAACCTTCCAGAGCCCAGGCACCAGAGCTGAAACCCTCAGCCAATCTGTTCCCACCCTGTCCCTCCTGAGGCACGGGGCAAAGGGGGATGCTGGCTTCTCACTGGTCAGCAGCAGGGAGCTGTGGGAGGCCTCGGGTCACTGAGTCCGAGCCCACTGTTGCAGGTAGGGGACCTGAGGCCCAGGAGGGAGAGGGGCCCGTGTGAGGCTGAGCAGCAAATTCAGGACCCCCTTCTAGAACGGCCAATTCCCTGGTCAAGGCTCTGTAAACGACATAGCCCCAGTGCCCCCACTATGGGTGAGCCTCTCAGCAGCCCCGCACAGCAGGCTGAGTCTACTTCATTACCCCCGTTTTCGGGGAGTGAACATTGAGGTCCAGAGAAGTTAAATTCATAGACCAAGGCCACACAGTAAGTGTCAGGGGTGCAGCGAGGCCTCAAAGCTGGGCCTACAACTCCGAGCCCAGGGCCCTTCAGCACAGCGTGGGGCCCCTGGAGCAGAAGGTGGGCCCGACACTCCACGTGGTGGCTGCCGGCCTCTGGGCCAGGTCCCTGACCACGGTGGTGGGGGGCTGGTCCTTATCGAGCTCCCCCATGCACACGCATGTGCAGGCACACAGGCAGGCCTACTCACACACACACACACACACACACACACACACACACTCCCCATCCACACGCTCGTGCCCTGTGAGATGTCCCAGCTGCTTGGTGGTCCTAAGCACAGCTCCCCCCGCCCCAACAATAAAAGGCGCTCCTTCTCTCTGAGCCTCAGTGTCCCCATCTAAGTGGGGCTGGATGAGATGCCACTTAAGGCCACCTGCGGTGCCACCAGAGGCCCACAAGATTCTCCAGCCCTCCAACATCAGACAAATAAATGCTCGCTGAGGACCCACAGATGCCGGGAGGTGGGCGTAGAGCAGCGCCTAAGAAGGACCCAGTCCCGGCCCCGCGGAGTCCCACCCGCCCTCCCCCAGGCACACCTGGCGGCCGAAGCCCTTGCTGCCCCCTGTTGGCTGGGTCTGACCCCGACTGCACCAGCCTGAGGGGTGCAGATACCCAGGAGGCCTCTCTCCGTCTCCCTCTCCCCCCCTCCCCTCCAGGTCTACATCCAGAGGCTGGAGCTGGCTCTGCTCTGCTTCTCCTTCCTGGAGTTCTTCCTGCTGAGCTCCACGGCCGTCATAGTCTGCAGGGCTGGCCGCCGGTCTGCAGAGGTGAGGCCCTCCAGAGACGGGTGGGGACACGAGGTTCAGGAAGGGGAGGGGGCAGGCAGGGGTGTCGCTGAGCATTTACTCAGTGGGGGCCACAGACAGAGGCGGGACCACAGTCCAGCCGGGGAGACAAGTCAGGGGGCAGCAAAGGCTGATTGAAGGTGAAAATTGCAGAGTCACTGAGGAGAAAACATCTGTGGGCCAGGGAGCTGTCACAGGGAGATGGCTGGAGGCTGGGCGGGATCCTGACTTGCAGGCAGGGTGGGAGCAGGGACCTCCAGCAGAGAGAAAGTCATGGACACTGGCTTGGGGCCAGGAAGGGGAAGGCCAGGAGAGCTATAGCATGTTGTGGGGTTTGGCTGTGGAGGGAGTAACTGAGGCGGGATTGGGGGGGGGGGCCCTAGGAGACTGAGCATTTCAAGCTACAGGCAATCCCGTTATGAGCACTTTAGAAAAACATGACTTGAAGATTAACACACACATACACACACACACACACACACACACACACACACACACACCCAAAAACCCATACCGTGATTTAGCTTAATCTTCTCAACAGCCCTTGGAGGTAGGTAGTTACTTCCCCATTCTTAAGATCAATAAACTGAGGCTTAGAGAGTTTCCTTCACTTCCTAAGGTCAGTCAGCCCGTAAGGAAATCCAGGAATCAGTCCGAGGTGTGTCCACCCCATGGCCAAGTGCTGGTCTGCCTGCAGGGGGGGACGGCAGAACGGCAGGCTGGGGCCAGGTACATTCTGGAATAGATTAGCTTTGCCCCACGCCGGTGACCCTGACCCTGACCAGAGGTGATTTTCCTAGGCTCATTTCTTTAAAGGAAAAAAGTTCCCATTATAATCTGAACTTTCCGAACACTAAAAACATGTGATCCCGGCGATCCTTCGAGTTCGACACTCGGAGCGATTTCTTGTTAGTGCCATCCGTTTTTCGGGTTTTCACCTGGCACAGATAGGATCGTGTGGCCCTGAGCTTTACCAAACCCCCTCTGGTTGTCCCAGTTACTGCCTGGCTGGCTGGCAGGAAGTCTTCTCGTTAAGACATCAGAGAGCTGGAAGGGGCCTTGAGTCACTAAGGCCAACCCCGCCCTACAGGATGGGGACACCGAGGCCCCCTCCCCAGCTGGGGGAATTCACAGTCACCACTCCCGGATATCAGCATCCGCCGTGTGCTGGGCACTGTGCTAAACACTGCAGACAACTCTCTTGGTTGCCCATTGCCGTGGCCACAAATTATCACTAATTCTGCTTATGCATATGGAAGAGGAAGCAGGAGGCTCAGCAGGGTTAAGTGACTCCCCACTGTCACACACGGTGAGTGGCCAAGCTGGCCCTCCCCCACACGCCTCCGTGCCCCCCTCTGTCTGAGAGAATGGCTCCGGGCACAGGCTTTGCAGCACCCTCGTCACAAACGAGTGGTGAGGGCAGGACAGCAGTCACCAGGGACACTGCCAGCGTGGCCCCTGAAACGTGTTCTGGCGAGGAGGGACCCTGGCAAATCAGCTGGCTCAGCCCCATCAGGGAAGCCGACGGGGCAAGTGATTTGCCCAAGGTCACCTGCACACTAGTAACAGGCTCAGACCAGGGGCCAGTCCCCCTCTCCCTGCTCCCTCCTCGACCACAAGAAGGCGGAGAGAGAGGCACACACTGGCCTTCTGGAAGTCCCTCCATCGTCTCTCAAGCCTCGGTTTCCCCATCTTTGGGGGATCCTTGAGCACGTAAGCCCGTGGATAAGTGCTTTGTGAATGGCCACTCACTCCCCAACTGTAGCAGCAGGGACGGTGGCTTCTCTTTTGCAGGAAGGTGACTTATCCTTTGCTCCGGACACGTCGTCGTGGGGGCTCCAGGGGCCACCGATGAGTCCTCCACCAGCCTATGGGGATGTGACTATGACTTGGGGTGACATGTAAGATGAGCCAGAGCAGAGGTGAGGAGGCCCCGGGCTCCCCAAACTGTCAGAATTCACCGCCTCCCCCCGGGTCCCTTCTCCCTGCACAGTTCCGAAGAGGCGGTTGCCAGAAAGGGGCAAACGGGGCTATTGCTAGACATGTCTGCCCCGTGCTGGTGGCCGAGGCAGAGGCGGCCCCCATGCCCGCAGGCCCAGAAGGGACCCCCCGGGCCCCACCCCCTGTAACATGTCAGCTTCTCAGCTGGACCAGAGCACGGCCAGGTCCTACCCACCCAGGAACAGACCCCAGCCCCCACTCCACCCCTCTACCCTCCCTGTCCGCTGCCCTCCAGTCACTGGCGGACACACGGGGAGCTCGTCCACGGGGGAGGCGTGGGGCGAGTCACAGAAGGGAGCCTCAGAGCCCAGGGAGGCCTGGCCTCCAGACTCAACCCACCGTGAGGTCTCTGGGGGAGCGTGGGTCTGAATCCCTGGATCGGGGGTGGGCGCAGCCGGGGCCTCGAGTCGGATGGAAACGGGGCCCAGTTCTCCCCCACAAACGGTTAACGCATCTCCCTGCCTCCCTGGGCCTCAGTGTCTCCACCTGTACTCTGAGGGAGAGGTAGATGATGGGACCTGGGCCTCGCAGCTGGAAAGCTCAGATAGGAGTCAGGTTCGGGATTCCAGCCGTGATATCCAAGGCTGTGAGTGAGGCTTCAGGTCCCAGGTCCACACCGGCTGGCGCCGCGGAGCGGAGTAAGCCAAGCGAGGGAGAACCGCCTTCTCCGTTGCTGAATGTAGCCTTCCCGGGACAGTCTGTGATTCCTGCGATTTCCGGACTGTATTCTATTCCCCTCATGTTTCCATAAAGTGATTTTTCTTTTCGCCGCGCATTATCGTCGAGGGGAACTTTGTGTCAGCAACACACAGGAAGCCGATACGTTTCCACGAAAAGAAGCAAAGCACAAAAATGATGGAAACGCTGCAAACATAAGAGGAAACTCGCTTGCCACCCCACGCGGTGATCTCAACACCTGCTTCTCTGCCTCTCACCACCCCGGCTTCCCTGAGCCTCCACAGACACTGAGCCACCCCCTTGCCCTTCCTCGGCCTGGACTCTCTTCCCTGGAGAATCACGGCACTCACTCTGCCCAGTAGAGACGGGGCTTCTGACTCTGGGCCACAGCTCGTGTCATTTGCCCCTCCCATCAATCTGTGGTGTAGGTTCTGTCACTATCCCCGTGACACGCAGGCTCAGAGACGTTAAGCAGGCTTCCCGAAGGCACCCAGCTGGTAAGCAGTAGAGCCCAGATTCGGACCCGAGCACCCTGACTCCACGCTGACGGCGCCCAGACGTGGCGACAGGATGGCCCCTGCTCTCCAGGAGCGCTACTCTCACTGGTCAGATGAGACGTGCCCGTACGACAGCCACCACAGTCCACACGGCAAAGTCAGCCCTCAAAGTTCACGGGAACCCCGTCTTCCCAGATGGGTCGTTTGCCGTGTGGCAGCCCAGGTTCGCAGCTGTCCGGGATCGCAGTCCTACAAAACCCCAGGGTGCAGCGATGCCCTCGGGGTCCCCGAGCCTCGCACTGAATATTCCCGGGGTTCAAGGTTGTCTGAATTCTGTCGCCACTTCCCTTGTTGCCACTCCTGGCTGTCACCTCTGGTCTCAGCTAGTGACTTGCCGGTAACCTCTGGTCTCTGCTTCTGTTCTGCTGCGTCTGCGGGTCACAGCTGGCTTTGGAGCAGAATGTCAAGCGTAAGTCCCTGGCCCTGGACGGAGCATCAGAGGACCCAAAGCCATGCCGATGTGTGGGACAAACGGTTAGGACAAAGAATCCGAAGAAAAGAACCTCAAAGCCTGGCTGTCTGGAGATCCCGGGTGCAAATTTCCGCTCAGGCGGTCGCTTCCTCTGTGACCTTGACCCGGCCCCATCCCCTTACAGGGCCTCAGTTTCCTCGTCTGTAAAATGGGATGTTGTACTGGACCGGTGGTTTCGTTTCAACCAATCTATGAAAAGGAGAGTAGAGCGACTCAACTAGGGTGTCAGGTTAGCACGCTTGCTTCCTCTTTCTCCATGTGCATCCGTCTCGTGCACGCACGTCCACACCCAGGCACCCTTGCATCTCCGTTGTAAGCCTTTGTGTGGAACCATCCGGAAGTGGCAGACACCAGGACCCTCCGTCCCCAGATTCTTCTACCGGCATTTCTTCCCGAGAATGTGAGCATTCTGCATAATCACGATAGTATTATCACAGTAAGAAAATTAAAGATGATTCCAGGGTGGGGCGCCTGGCTGGCTCAGTCAGTTAAGCATCCGACTCTTGACCTCGGCCCACGTCGCGGCCTCGCAGCTCGTGACTTCAAACTCCACGTCGGGCTCGGCACTGGTGGCGAGGAGCCTGCTTAGAATTCTGTCTCTCCTTCTCTCTGCCGTTCCCCATCTTGTTCTCTCTCTCTCTCCCTCCCTTTCTCAAAATAAATAAATAAACATAATTTTTTTTTTTTTTTTTTTTTTAATTCCAGGGCGCCTAGGTGGCTCAGTCAGTTGAGCGTCTGACTTCGGGCCAGGTCGTGATCTCACGGTTTGTGGGTTCAAACCCCGCATCAGGCTCTCTGCTGTCAGCTCAGAGATCCTCTGTGCCCACCCTGCCCCTCCCCCCTCTCAAAAATAAATAAACATTAAAAAAAATCTGGGGGCGCCAGGGTGGCTCCGTCGGTTAAGCGTCCGACTTCGGCTCGGGTCATGATCTCGCGGTTCGTGGGTTCGAGCCCCGCGTCGGGCTCTGTCCTGACAGCTCGGAGCCTGGAACCTATTTCGGATTCTGTGGCTCCCTCTCTCTCTGCCCCTCCCCTGCTCGTGTTCTGTCGTTCTCTGTCTCTCAATAATAAATAAATGTTAAAAAAAAATTTTTTTTTAATTTTTTTTTTGTCCATATTTGAATTCCCCCCATGGTCCCAAAAATGTCCTTTACTGTACTTCAGGTTAAACCTGCACCCAGTCAAGTTTCGTGCATTATATTTGTCACATCACTTTATTTTTTTTTTTTTTCATCTAGAACAATCCTCCCACGTTTTTCTCATGACAGGGGCTTTTTGAAAAGAACAGCTGTCTGTGCAGCGTCTGTTTTTTTCCTCACGGTGTCCTTCCCTTGCCCCCCATCCTCCCCTTTCTTGTCACCTGGCAGTGATCCGGAGGCCTGGGTCGATGCAGGGTGAACACTGAACGTTGGGGAGAACTCCCCAGGGGTGGTGCGGGGCCTTCTCGCTGCGTCATGTCCCGAACCCGGGAACCTGCTTGTCCCTCGGTTAGTAATCCCGGGCATGGGGGTCACTGTCATAGCTTGCCACTGCCACTGTCATTTTTTTTTTAATTTTTTTTAACGTTTATTCACTTTTTGAGAGACAGAGACAGAGTATGAGCAGGGCAGGAGCAGAGAGAGAGAGGGAGACACAGAATCCGAAGCAGGCTTCAGGCTCCGAGCTGCCAGCCCAGAGCCCGAGGCGGGGCTCGAACCCATGAACCGTGAGATCGTGACCTGAGCCGAAGTCGGACGCTTAACTGACAGAGCCACCCAGGCGCCCCAACCACTGTCATTTTCTATACCTGCTTTTCCTACAGAGTTGTTGTTGTTGTTGTTGTTGTTTTTAAGAAAGCAAAACAGGTCACATCACTCATCAGAGAGGAAAATGTCGAAGTCGGTCTTTCTGTAAGAGCTGAATGTCTAGTATACGAAATTCTCAAATGTCGCAAACACTAACTCGACAGTCTTATATCGAGTACAGTGATGTAAACTCATTCTTTCTTCTTAAAATTTCTTCATTATCATATATACCATGTGTAAATGAAGGGAAATTGGAAATGCTCCCAGGGCTCATACGATTACCAAACCCCGAAAGGGATTCATGAGCCTAGCGGCCGGGGGGGGGGGGGGGGGGGGGGGGAACAGCGGCCTCGATGACCCTCAGGGCCTCAGCGAGCTCTAGAACTTTAGAGTTCCGCGACAGTGAGCCAGCAGAAAAGGTGTCACGGCCTACAGCTGGCCTCAAGATGCCGCTGCTTAGAGATGTCAGTTCAGTGGTCTTGGGGCAAATAAACCAGAGTGCTCTGTCCCCCGGGTCCCCATGGGGAGTGAGGCCTTCCCCTCCCCAGTGAGGACACCGCCGACCACCCCTGAGCCTGGGGAGGGACCAGCTTTGTGAGCGGTGGGTTCCTGAGAAATGAGCACACACAGAGTCGTGCATGTCCTGGTCAGGGCAGGGGAGATCACGGCGCTCGGGGGGGATAGAAAGTCACTGCAGTAACAACTTCCTGTACCACTGACTCCTCATGGAACTGAGCCTCCACCTTCTCATCTGTAGAATGGGAATGGCGCTTCCTCCCCCCACCGAGTGGTAGTGAGGGTCAGAGAAAGTACCAACTCAGTGTTCCCCGGAGCGTGAGACACGGCGGGGAATGGTGTGGGAGACAAGAACATGGTGATAAAGAACATCAGTGCGCGTGTGGAGGGAGGAGTCCCCTTTTCAATCTCTTTCAATCTCTTGGATTTCTTTTGGGAGAAAGTCTCCGTTTTGGGACTGCTGTGTCGTTAACTAACACCAGCTAATGTCCCTTCACGGGGAGACGGCAGACCTCGCGGGCAGCGAGCATCATCGCATTGGAAAAAAAGATTATAAAAAGGAAGTCCACCCGAAGAGGCCCGTTAAATAATGGTACCAGGCACAGAGAGATCCATAAAAATTGCGAAGGTAGAGCTTGAATGACCGACGTCTGAGAAGCAAGGGAAGCGGACCTGCCCTCCCCACCCCGTTCACAAGAAGGAAGCGGGTTTGCACCCTGCGGCCGAGCTGAGAAGCTTACTCGGACCCTCGAACCTGATTCGACCTCCTGGTCTCGTGGAACTTTTGCACTGGAAGAATCTTCATGGGTGATCTCCCTAACCCCTCGTGTGGAGAAACTGAGGCCCGGGTGTCTGAAAGGTGACCTAGCAGGCCCTAGACTAAGATGGGGCTGGAGCCCGGGTCTCG